ATGAACTGTAAGTTTACTTGTACTTCTTTCATCTCAACTTCTGGATATTGAGCTATTATAAGCTGATTCCCAGATCTTCCAGAATAGGTAAGGAATCAATATAGAAGTGAAATAAAATGGGGTTTAACATATTACATTTCTGCACCAACCGGCTAATGAAGACAGGCAATATAGAAGTACTTGCAATACAACAAAAAAAATAAGCGTGTGTGTGTGTGTTTGTGTTAGTTTCTGTATAGATAGATTGCCAGGTAATGAAATATATGCCCACAGCAGCCAAGTCATCCAAGCTGTCGCCTATATTTATTCTTTTGTAGGTAACATCAGCATTTACAAGACACTAAAAATTGACCAAGATTCACATCATAGTAAATAATCAATGTAGATTTAAAAATAATGAATAGGGCATTTGGCCATTTTTGTTCAAATTCAACTGTAAACTTTACTATGAAAAATTGTAAACTACCAGCACAGTTTGATGGATCTATTCTAAGGGAAAACAGGTATAATACAACAATATATACACCTACATTTGACATTTAACTCTCGTTATAAAAAAATAAATATTTCATAACAGCATATCATTAAGTCTATTTTTCACTCCACATTCAACAGCTGACTACTTTTTCTTGAAACATAAATGTGACCAAAAAGGAAGTAAGCTCTTTGTTTTTTATCACATTACTTAGATCTAATGTTTTCAGCTGTGTACGCAAATTCTATTGTTCAATACATTTCACAATTTTTTTTCTCCAATGTTTCATGATTCAGATGTCACAAGACAAGGGATCTTTGATCATCCATCACTCTTTTCTCACCTCCCTAGACAAACAATTAAAGAGCAACAAAATATAACACCATGATTTGATCTTCTTTACGTAGGAGGAAACATATCACACTCCCCAATGGACATGACATTAAAACATAAGGAAATGTCAAACATATTTTAAAATATTTAAATATGTCTTAAAAAATTTTAAAATATTTTAACAATAATGCTGAAGAAGTGGTCGCCATGCAAGATACTCCAACATTTTCCAAGAGATGGACAGAAAACATGGAAAATCAGTGGGGCTCATTACACAAAATTTTGCTCCACCCACCTTCATTCTGGATTAAGGAAGACATTCAGGACCATGCTTCTTCTTTGAGTCATCCTGAGCATATCACTAATTTTGACCTCTTCCCACCCGGTTTGTGTAAAAGAGGCAATTTTAATGGGAAGTCATGGTCCCAAAATAAATAGATGACACTTATTAATGACTTACACATTTAACTTTTTATAAAGCATCTAGCACTCAAATTGTACATCATTTAGCATAACCTATGCAGAAAATGATGATTATCAATGTTAGGTATTGATGTAATAAAGTTTGCATGTGGGTGAATAAAAAAGAACTTTGTTATTGCTTTGGCACCTAGCAAGTGGAATCCCAGCATGCAAGAAATGAAGACTAGATAAGACAGCAAGTCTTAATGTTCTTCAATTCAGTTATTGAACAGTGGCTAGAACTAGAAGGGGAAACCCAGTAGTAATGTATACTGTAACTATAAGTACATATCATAGATAAGCTTTTCACTTCCTAACCTTCCAACTCTGCTTGAATTCAATCTTATCTATATATGGCTCCTGCATTACCATCTTTACTAAACACTTTCATTTACTGACCAATATTATAAAACTGAGATGAAAATAGTATCATGATAACTGATATGTAGTTCAATTGGTTGAGAAAATACAAAATTAAGATAAAAGATATAAAAAATGGTTTCTTTTTAATGAAATTCTGATAAGGAGAGATTTAGTTTTTTTCTTCTGATTAAAAGAGCCATCAATAATGACTTATTGCAATAACAAATTTTGTTGTAAGTTTCATAAATTTTTATCAGGAAAGTTTGGAATTAAGATACAAACTAACCAATATGTACACATTAGATCATTTTGTACATGTTCACAACTAGATTAATGTTAACAATAATATTAGTATTAACATTATTATAGTATCAACTAGGTTCAGGATATAGGCCTATCTTATACTTAGGAATACAACAAAATTAAAAACTGTAAGCTTTGTTTCATTTGAAAAAAAAAAAACAACATTTTGTTCTGTTAAGTATCATTTTTATTTTGAATTACATCCATATGTGGGACACCATGATCTAATTGATGCTTAAAAGGCCTCTAAACGTCTTAATCCTGGTTTAGGTTGAGAAAGAGAAGAGTTTTGCAATGAAAGTAATTATGTGGTATGACATAGTACGTGATTTGGTTATTTACATTAATTATTATCAAACAACTATTTTTTCACAGCAAATAACGAGAGCATTGTTAACGCTGCAATATACATCCACATACCTGCTTTGATTGATATGGTACTTTTTAAAATGAAGAGAATGAAATATGAAATGGCTGTAATATGACAAGAGGCAAAGAAGGCTAGGCGTTGGGTTTGTATTTCCAAATTTACAGACAAAATATTAACAAAAAAGTGTGTGTGTAACTGCCCAGGGGGTCGGGGGATGCACCAAAATAAATAGTTACTGTCTTTATGGTGTAAGGAATAAATATGCAAAGTTCCAAGATGATCCATTCAGAATTGCAGCCTGTAGACGATAAATACAAAAATTGGGCGTGGCTCTGCCCCTGAGGGGTGGATATTGAACAATTTAAATAGGTACCATCCTGTTATTGAAATGATTGATATGCTGAATTTGAACAAAATCTGTTAATTATTGCAATATGTAGAGTATTTACTGATAAAAACTAACAAATAAATAGTTGCTATCCTTACAGTATAAAGAATAAATATGCCAAGTTCCAAGATGATCCTTTTAAAATTCCAGCCTGTAGACAAAAAACACAAAAATTGGGTGTGACTCTGCCCCTGGGGGTTGGACATGAACCAATATACATATAGGTACAACCCTATGCTCGATCATTCTGAATTGGATCCAAATCTGTTAATAATCGGCCCCTATATCATTTACAGACAAAATATTAACAAAAAGTTGGTGTGGCACTGTCCAAAGGTTGGGGGGGGGGGGAGAATCATGCATCAAAATCAATAGTTGCCGTCCTTAGGGTATAACTAAGGAATAAGTATACCAAGTTCCAAGATAATCCATTCAGAATTGTGGCCTACAGAAGCTAAAGGCAAAAATTGGGCGTGGCTCTGCCTCTGGGGGTCGGGGCTTTAACCAAAATCAATAGTTGATGCCCTTAGGCTATAAGAAATACATATGCCAAGTACCAAGCTGATCCATTCAGAATTGCAGCCTGTAAATGATAAATACAAAAGCTGGGTGTGACTCTGCCCCTGGGGGTTGGACATGAACCAATATACATATAGGTACAACCCTATGCTCGATCATTCTGAATTGGATCCAAATCTGTTAATAATCAGCCCCTATATCATTTACAGACAAAATATTAACAAAAAGTTGGTGTGGCATTGTCCAAAGGTTGGGGGGGGGGGGAGAATCATGCATCAAAATCAATAGTTGCCGTCCTTAGGGTATAACTAAGGAATAAGTATACCAAGTTCCAAGATAATCCATTCAGAATTGTGGCCTACAGAAGCTAAAGGCAAGAATTGGGGCGTGGCTCTGCCTCTGGGGGTCGGGGCTTTAACCAAAATCAATAGTTGATGCCCTTAGGCTATAAGCAATACATATGCCAAGTACCAAGCTGATCCATTCAGAATTGCAGCCTGTAAATGATAAATACAAAAGTTGGGCATGGCTCTGCCCCTGGGGTCGGGACATGCAGTTGTCGTCCTTAGGCTAAAAGGTATACTCCCAAGTTCAAAGACGATCCATTAAGGATCGTGGCCTGTAGGCAACACACAGACACAAAGAAAAACCGGGCGTGGCTCGGCCCCTGGGGGTTATCCTTAGGGTATTAGGAATAGGTATGCAAAGTTTCAAAAGGATCTGTTAAAAATTGCTGTGGGCGAAACACAAAACAAAAATTGGGCGTGGCTCTGTCCCAGGGGGTCGGGCATGCACCAAAAATAACAGAGGTCAGCCTTAGGGTATAAGGAATAAGTATAAAACAGTTTTCAAGACGATCGATTAAGAATTGCGGCCTGTAAGTGACACGGACATACAAAAAGAAAATGGGCGTGGCTCTGCCCCTGGGGATTGGGCATTCACCACAAACAATAGGGATGTTCCTTTGGATAGAAGGAATAAGTATGCATAGTTTCGAGGTGATACATTAAGAAATGCGGCCCTCTCTGCTACTGGAGGTCGGGCTTGCCCCAAAAACAATAGGGATCATCCTTAGGGAATAAGGAATTCATAATAACAATTTTCAAGATGATTAAGAACTGTGGCCTGTAGGCAACACACTGGAAGTTGGGCATGCCCCCACCCCCCCCAAAAAAAAAAACAATAGGGATGTTCCTTAGGGTACAAAGAATAAGTATGCAAAGTTTGAAAATGATACGTTAAGAAATGTAGACGACAAACAAGAAATGGGCGTGGCTCTGCCCCTTTGGGTCGGGAATGCACCAAAAACAACAGGAGTCATACTTAGGTTAGGGTATAAGAAATAAGTATGTAAAGTTTCAAGATGATCACTTAAGAATTGTGGCCTGTAGGCCACACACACACACACAGGGTCCACAGCAATATATGTCCACATTATGAATGTGGAGGTATAAAAAGAACAAGTAAAATCTACATGCATGTAATCACCATATTGAATAAATATTTGTGACTATCAGATTTAATTAATTGTATTTTTCTTCTTTTGTTTTGTTTTTTTCAATGTTTATTATGCAACAGAATTGTTATAAACCCAGACAGGGCTTGCCAGGGCCTCTAATCAGCCCGCAATCTGCAAAGTTGATCATGCAACTCTTCAAAAGTAAACATTTCTCGGTTTTGCTAGCAGTAACTCTGCTTGTTAAAAATACATTACAGCCAATAAAATATTTCCCTGTAAATTAAATTTAATACAGATAGATGCAAGTTTTTAATAGAAATAAACCTACCTTCAGTCCAGTTCCAGCACATGCTATTCCTAAAGCCATGGCTGCTCCAAACCGTACATGTGGATTGTAACTTTCTGATAATAATGATACAACACTTGGACATTGTTCTGGTGTTCTGAAAATACATACAAAAGAACATTTAGGTAAAACAAAAACACAAGTGTCTTAATCTTATGAATAGCATTTTAGTACCGGTACTTACACAATTCACAGTATCATTGTGTGATGTAACACTATTGGATCAGAATTTATTCATACATTGACATTGCTAGCATAACCTTTCATTCATATCTAATCCCACCCCACTCATAAATCTCCAATTTATCAGAAATCCTGAATATGCGAGTATTACCACAGGCTAGGGCTAGTATATTTCAGTTATAGGGCAATACCAATTACCATGCCAAAGTATACATTTAGGTGAAAAATTTAATTAGCTGACAAGTGGACAAAATTAAGAGTTTTATGGTGAGAAATAATCTATATTTTGAAGACAAACTTAGTTTTGGGTGGAAACTCTTATGTCAAATTTATAATTTTATTATTTCTTGCTTGGCGTTTGTTGATTATTCTGTAATTATCTGACAATGTATATAGTAATTATCTGACAATGTATATAGTAATTATCTGACAATGTATATAAACATGTTATTTATACTAAAAAATAATATATATTTGTGAAAGTATACAACATTAAATAAATATTGCTACGAGAATTTACGTCTGTTAAGACTGACCTTAAAAATATCTTTGTTTCGCCTAACGCGACCGACTAACTAAAACCACCCCCGACTTAAATTATTTTATTGCACTTTTCCGCGATCTTTTTATTTTATTTTGTGTGTCAACCTGAAATATATCACGAGAGTTATTTCCCTTTACTATGGCTATGGTTTGATTCATTATTGAAACTGGTTGATCAAGACGAAAGCGTCATAGGTGTCGCTTCTCAACAAAATGGTTGCAGACGAAAGCACGTCCATTCCCACGAAATGATTCTGCCTCTATGTCTGTGTGGCATCGTTTTAAACAAGACGAAGATATTTTCAATATCCGTTTTCGAGAAAAATGAAGGCACGATCGTTAAAAACGTGTTGAAGGGGTTTCACACTTAGAGTTCGTGGCAAATCGTGTGCGAGTCTCGGAGTCGTGCATCACGAAAAATCCCGATGTCATACTCATTGATTTGTTTGACAATAAAAAGAGACGAATGTTTCCCCCCAGAAAATTATCAAGCTGTCAAATTAGCTCTTTAAAAAAAAATCTGAAAAAAAAAACCCGACCTACCGACCCTTCTCCTCGATTGTGAGTCGGGTTTGGCGAAACAAAGATATTTTTAAGGTCAGCCTAATAAATCTTTACATTTTTTTCTCTCATTATGGAATTTTTTAAAAATTCAAACTTAAAACTAAAATTACCCATTCTTATTATAATGACCATAAAAAGAAAAGATTCGCAAAAATTCTCAGAATAACTTGGGGTTTCCATTACTTTTCACAGTATGTACAGCCATTACCAAATATTTACACTTTGTCTGACTCATTCATATTTATTTATGGAAGTGACATCATTTAAAGCTAACATCATTCATTCTTATTGTTAAATGACCATAAAGAGAAAACATTTGCCAAAATTCTCAGAATCACTTAAGGTTTCATAGATGTGGTTCATTGAAAATTCATACATATCATTGCTCATGCCCACAAAAACCCCTATTTTCTGATCACCAATTGTTGAAAAAAGTAATTGATCACGTAAAGTAATATGTTTATTATTTTATACTTATTTACATTTAAAATATTCAAAATCGATTTGTGATTAAATTTGTCAATGTTGCAATTCATGGCATCCCAGAATTTGTGTGACGTCATGGGGACATTTTGTATTTAACATTTTAACAACTGGACCATGTTGAGTATAAGATTGATATTTCCAAATAATTTCACAAAACATGCAGCAGAGAATCTCAGATATCTTTTACTAAGTTTTTATTTCTAAACAAATGATAAGTAATCTCAATTGGAGGATTTTTATTCACGTTCTAATGAAGGTGCCTCATTTTAAGAATAATGTATCATAAACACATTAATAGTATTTCTTATACATGCACAGAAATTTAGTGTTAGAAGTCTAATTTGGTGTCCCTTTTTGGGGGGAACATGACAATGCAAAACCACCAACTGTGACTCAAATGGCATATATTACTCCTATTATTGGTATACTTTTATCAATGAATGAGATTATTAGATTACTTAAATTTGAGTACCTATGTCGCACATTGGACCCCTCATTAAATGAATGACCCATGTAGCCTACTTCTGTTAATTTTTACATTCACATTTATGTCAGTTATCAATGAGTTAATTATTATTATTATTATTATCTATTAGATTATTTGCAAGTTCACGCATCTGATGTAATGGGTTAGCAATTTGCACATGTATGTCCTTACCAAAATAATTTCTTATCTACTGGGTAACAAGAATTCAAATGTGACAAGTGATCGTACAGTACACATGTATTATTAGCGCCCTTTCTTAAAGGGATTAAAACTTTTTAATTCCACAGGACAATCCACAGAGTTTTGCAACTATGCTCATGCAGGCAAATCATGGTGTTTACATACCTATACTAGTCACCAATATTTATTTCCTGTGTTTATGAACAAATAAATTCATGTCAATGGATACTTAAAACCTGTTTCTAATGTTAAATAAAACCCAAATAGTTCATTACCCATGGTTAGATAATACTGGAAATAATAAAAATATGACAAGTTCAAAATGTTTATCCGTTATCATTGAATTGCCATTTAATTGGATTTAGATTCATAAGGAAATCAAATTTAGGGGTTACAAAAATGTTATAAATCAATTATTATAATTGCGAGATGTTTTACTATGGCTTTACTGTGCATGAACACAATGTAGGTTGTACATGCAAAGAATGCAATCCCACCTGCAAAAAGACATAAATTATTGAAAAACATCAGTTGTTTTAATTTGCTCAAAATCTTTTGGGAATTAAATAACAAAGCCATAATATAATATTTATTAGTTTTTAAACATGAGCAATTGTTTCCCCCTGCAACAATATTTCATTTGTTTTGATTCAGTAAGTCAACATATACAGTCCTCGATCACTGTAGAATATGATTACCTACTGGTAATAAACTATCTTATTAAGTCACAGCTTTTTTTAAAATCTGTATCGATTATTTATTGTGAACTATTGCAACTTTAAAGATTAAATTTAAACCTATTTGCTAACATCAAATTTAAACAAAATATTTGTGTCTGAGATGAAATAAATGAGTTTAACTGGTTAAAAAAAACTCTGACTTGCATGGGCAGTGTTAATTTGTGTTAATACTTACTTACAGTTACCATACATTTCTTAATACACATTATACAGAAGGCACTGTTACTATTTAAAATTGTAAATTACTATGCCACTACAAACACTTCATAATATTGAAATATGGCAAATAAAATAGTGTTAACATCTTACTTTTCTGCACCAACTGGACTTATGAAGATGGGCATATATACACTATAATATGCAGTGTTGCATTAGAGAAATTTTGATTCTTAACCAGGGATCTCCTATATACAGCACCATTATTTACTCAGTCACTGAGTGACCATGGCTTAATAATGACAAAATCCAACAATTGGAAACAAGTATTTTAAAAGGAAGTTATTGTCTATATGTAATTACTGTGCAAATTTATCACTGTTTTATTGACTATGTGCTTTTTACAGTGTGTTTTTTGTTTTTGTACATTTTGACATGCTTTTTACATCATTACATGTATGTTTTATGACATGTATGACTTTTCAATTTCAGTTATGTTGCTGTTTTTTTTGTATACCATCTAGTGTAAAGTGTCATTGAGCAACATATCATGTTTTATATTATTATTAACCAGTTAAATCAGTACACATCCAAATGACATCTTTCTCCTTCATATCATATATATGTAATAATATGTGCTTGACAATGCTTCAGTGAAATGAAAAGATGATCATTTTGAATGCACATACGAAACACAACCCAGAGTATGGTAATTGATGGATATGGAAATTATCGTTTGATTAGGTATTGTGTAATGAGCCATTAGCCCCTTCTCATGTATATGGTGACGTGTGAGGAAATTAGCTTCTTAAACCATTTGATTATAAATATTCCACAGCTCATTAACTCCTTTATTTTCTTCTTATATGGTCTACAGATTTCAGATTAGTCAATGTTTGAATGGTTGGCCGTCAGAACTTATTGATGCCTGCCATTCATGAAATTCTTAAATACAGTTATGATATTATATTTACAACATTTTATTATTAAAATGCTACACAATTAAAACTAATTTGTAACATATAATTCTGAACATGATGTATCTGAACACCAAAAGTATTTCGTTTAAATGTTTTTAAAAAAATTAAATATGCATGTAGAACACTGTTTTGAGAGGGCAACCATCAAGCCTCCCCCTCATCATACTGGTATCTTCTGAGCGCCAAACCACTAACCACCTACTTTCCTAAACATAAGAACCTCTTGGTGTGTTAAGTGCTTTGTTCCTGAACATCACTATCATGTTTGTCCAATTAACTTTATATCCTTTCATGTTATTTTTTTCTTTTGAATTTTTAGAACGTCTGTGTTCAATTGAGTATAGCAAATCTAACATGTCAAACACCTGCTACATTCAAGTAAACCGTAAAAGTAGACATTATTGATATTTAGTAAACTAAATCTCCCCAAGTATTTCTTTGATCCTACAAACAAAAAACTCAGTACCTTAACCATTTGGACACTGACACCCAGAATGACATTAGGCCTATACTAGCCTCCAACAGGGTAAAAAAGGACCAACAATTTTTTTTTGTAATATTATGAAAACTTAGGACCCAAGTAGGAGAAAAAACGGCTAGAAGTAGAACACCTTGGCTAGAGTACCGAGCAGCCGGTATATCGGCCGCCACAGGTACCTGTTTGTTACTGATTGGCCGAACACCAGTCGCTCGGTACTCCAGCCAAGGGGCATTCATGCTGTCCTTTCAGTCGCTCGGTTCCAAAGGGTTAATGCAAAGTGTCTTTATATTATCCATA